CTGTCAAAATCTGAAGCCTGCTCAGAGATCGCCAGGTAAAAGAAAATAAATGAAATACACAGAGGTTATTTCAAAACAGAACATGACCATCATCAAAAAAAAAATGTCACGATTCCCGATTGGGATCATCCTTTGTTTACTACTAGTAAGAAAAATCCCACGTTGGACTATTTCACACTCCGGCATTGGCCAAAGGACACGAGAGCTGGTTCTGGAGCATACAGTTTCTCACACAGTTGTCCCCAGAGGAACACCAGGGACAAAGTCACGTGAGGCCTCTCCAGTACAGAGGCTGTCTCACAGGGGCAGCGAGGACACCCACTAGTTTGTGGAGATCCCTGAGAGACCGGGTTAACTTCTATTTTTTAACACAGCTCAACAAACTGACTGGAGAGTGTTGTTTGAATCTTAGGTGGTCTTTTAATAAAAAACCCAGAGCCAAATATCAGGGTGAAGCTGAAAGATCAGAGAAACAGAACAGCCAGCCACTAGTTCTTGCCTCTTTGAAATCCTCAGCCTAAAGAAAGTGAGTTCCTATTTCCTCACACCTTATATACCTCTCTCTGCCCTGCCATATTCCTGGGATTAAAGGCACGTGTCCTTCCCAAGCAAAGATATGAGATTTCAAGTGCTGGGATATTAGGTGTGTGCCACCACTGCCTGACCTCTATGTCTCTGATCCTCAGGCAAGTTTATTAGGGTACTCAGTATATCCCCGACAGGAGAGTCTTAATTATGGTTCCACATTACACGTAGGTTAAAGCTAAGGAGAAAGGGCCACCAAAGGCCTCCAGTATGTGAAGGAACCCCAGCTTCCTGACCCTAGCTGCACCCTAAACACAGGGTGTGGCGGGTCTTTAAAGTCAGATGGTCCTGACCAGTTATGTTCACCATGTGAGAGGGAAGTGCTGCATGTAAGTGTACTGCAGAGATTGGGAAACTATGCAGCTGCAAAGACAAACCACGGAACAACCCAAGTGGAAAGAAGGCACGTTTTTCCAAGCTCTTTTATTTTTTTATTGAGTTAACAATAGAAGACTCCCCAAAGCTTTAAAAAAAAAAAAAAGAGACTCTGAAAAATATAAAGTTTTGTATTATTTACATGACATATGAGTACAGGCTGCAATATCATACAAACATCACATTAGAAGTAGTGGGGAGGCATGACGTAATTCTTGGCCTTTTAGATGCAAAGCCTATTACGTATTCTCCTAGTCTGACTCCCATGTTACCTGTTTTCCTAATACATAAACTATTTGGTACCTGAGAGGCTGGAAGACTACTGATAAACTTCAATACCGTCTATTTTATTTGATCTTTTTTATTTTCAAAACTTATGGCATTTTAAGGCTCTTTACACCTTTACCCTACCCCGCAGCTAAGTTTATTCTCACCTTTTCAAACTGTCAGGTATTCACCACATGAAATGTTAATGTGTATATAGATTTAAAATTCAAACATAAAAACTCATAGCCACGCTGTGTAGGGTATATATCTAATCTCAGGAAATCCCTCCTGCTTTCCTGTTTCAATACTATCAACTATGTTTTTTAAAAACATTAAAAAAAAAAAAAAAAGACAATAACTAGAATAATTCATCTCACAAATTAATCAAAAACCTAAGATTAAAAATTCTACATTATAGTTTTATTTGTATTTAAAAATACACTGGAAATTCTGCGTAGGCCCATGATAGAGCTTATCTTCGACGTCCGTTCCTTCGGTTTGAGACATGGTTTGCCTGACAAGTCCTTTCACACGCTGAACACCAAGATGGGGAAAGTCCTGTAGCTTTCGCTGGTGCTGCTGCTGCTGCTGATGCAAGTCGCTTCCTTGCCGCTGGAGCTGGATGCCTCTCATTTGCCCTTTATCACCTGAACAGTTTTCCGACCATAGTGATAATAACTGTATGCTGACGCAGCTGTAGTGAAGGCTGTACAACACCTTGGAGAGAAATGGGACTCAGCTGTCAACTCTAAAAACACTAACAGCAGAAATCATAAAGCACACACGTCAAAGATGGACTAAGAAAACAGAACTGTGTGACAGAACTGTCTAACTACAGAAATCTAAATCCATGACTTCCTTTAATAAAAACTTCATCTGAATTGGTGATGCCAAATGAAAGTCATCTAATTGCCACGGCCTACAGACTAGCAGTGCTAGCAACTGTTTTTCTGACCACAACTCTATGTTCTCATTTTTCTCCACAAAACCAAATTTGTACAGACAACTATAAAAAGACCGGAGAAACACGGCACAAATCTATAGAGCTCTTACTTAGACTGCTTGGGACAGATCTAAAGTCATGCACTACCTTGAAACAAAAACAGGAGAATCTGGTTACATATGGATGCAATTTGAAAGAAAGAAAACTTCCATTGAAGAACCAAAACACCAAGGGGGGAGGACCTTCATTTTATGCAAGAAAATAAAGTTCAAACTGTATCATTTTTAAAAGTCTTTAGTATAATTCACTTTGATTTACCAACCACATTTGTTCAGACTGCTAAAGCATGTTTTAATTATAATTAAAAGTTTATCAAAATGCAAATCAACATGGCAGCCTATTTGGAATGCTTATAAGTTTGATTTTGACACATTTTAAGACATTTACAAATGAGTAATTTGTATGAAGCTTTTTCATAGGACTTTCTTTAGACCACCAGCCCACAAATGATGACAGACTAACTTATTAATTATGAAAGCTTGACCTTAGCTTAGGCTTGATCTCCAACTAGTTCTTATAACTTAAATTAACCCATTTCTATTAATCTACGTTCTGCCATTCTGTATGTCCAACTGTAGCAGTATTGTGTTCCCTGAAATATTGTGCACTCTAATAAACTTATTTGGGGTCAGAGAACAGAACATAACAATATTAAACATAGAGGTTAGGCAGTGGTAGCACACGCCTTTAATCCTAGCATTCCAGAGGCAGAAATCCATGTGTTCAAGGATATAGCCAGGCATGGTGACTCACGCCTTTAACCCCAGAAAGTGAGCCTTTAATCCCAGGGAGTGATGGTAGAAGGCAGAAAGATATATAAGGTGTGAAGACCAGAAACTAGAAACATTTGGCTGGTTAAGTTTTCAGGCTTTTGAGCAGCAGTTCAGCTGAAATTCATTCTGGATGAGGACTCAGGGGCTTCCAGTCTGAGGAAACAGGATCAGCTGAGGAATTGGCGAGGTGAGGTAGCTGTGGCTTGTTCTGCTTCTCTAGTCTTCCAGCTTCACCCCAATACTTAGCGCTAGGTTTGATTTTATTAATAAAACCTGTTAAGATTCCTGCTACATCCAACTCCATGTCAGGCTGGTAAATCCCCCCTCTTTTTCCCAGAGTTCCTCTCTCCTCAGAAGTCCCGCCTATCCTCTCCTAGCTATTGGCCATTCAGCTCTTTATTAAACCAATAACAATGACACATCTTTAGAGTGTGCAAAAAGATTACCCCACAACAGTAATTAGCTCAAGATTCAAAGTGCTAGCTGGGTGGTGGTGGCGCATGCCTTGAATCCCAGCACTCGGGAGGCAGAGGCAGGCGGATCTCTGTGAGTTCGAAGCCAGCCTGGTCTCCAAAGCGAGTTCCAGGAAAGGCACAAAAGCTACACAGCGAAACGCTGTCTCGAAAAACCAAAAAAAAAAAAAAAAAAAAAGATTCAAAGTGCTTTCACTGTGTGTCCCCCCCACTAGCCTGGATCCTCAACATCACTGTTCAGAATGTCTGCTGAGGGCCCCGTTCACCTGTAGTTATGGCTCAAATGCTACTTCTTATTACTTTTTCTTCCTCTAAAACTCTTAACACATTGGCAATACTTCTCATTCTTCCAAGTTGTGACTGCTAACTTCTATGCTCCAGGCCTGAGAGTAAGGTTAAGAATGACAGCGCACTCTGGCCAGTTATGTTAATTCCCCTCTACTATAAAAAGAGGCTTCTCTGGTGAGGAGCGGGAGATGCACTAACATATGGGTATAAAAATAGGAACCTAGAGGCAACTCATTACTATCTCCGTTTAGCAAAATGATAGTATTAAGTTCTCTCCTAGGATCTATGACTTAGCCAGCCACTGGTTTGGGGTCCTGTTAATGGAAGCAGGCTTTAGTTCTATCTTGTGGAGTAGGTTTTAAATCCAATCAGAAAGTGATTGGTTATTCCCATAACTATTTGTGCCACTACTGCAAACACTTGCTATTGTAGCTTTCAGGGTTCAAGCTGGGCAAAACTTGCTTCTGAGAGACTGTTGAGTGCCCAGCTGCAAATAGAAGAGCTATATCACACTTCCTAACACCATGGCTCAGGGACCATCATGCAAAAAGCAGGGGAAAATTTTAGGAGCCAGAGGTAGTGGGCATTTGCAACAAAATAGTATTTATTGGACATGATGGTGACACTACACACATGAACTTACAGTGGCTATGACTGTACACATGCATAAGACCAGCGCAAGCCAGCTAAAATCTCTGCATGAATACGGTTGGGACTCATGAAGTTCTACCCCTTTTTGAGAAGCTATTGGCAACTAATGGCTGTTGGGGGAAGGAGAATTGGTTTTCTTCAGAGACTTGGCTCCTTAGGGGTTACCCATACCCTAGTACATACAAGCAGCACTAAGTGGACTCATGAGTATTTACAAAGAAAAAAGACAGCAAATAAAATCAGGAGAAGTAGTAGAAGAATAGAAAGAAGGGAACAGGGGATGGTCAGAGCTTTGTCTACCTACTGTTCATTAAACACTTTAAGAACAAAGTCATTCTAGGATTGTCACAGTACAAAGCCACTGTACTGATATTCTCAAAGTAATTCTAAATATAGCTTACCACAGTATCTGAAGATAAATGCTGTCAGCGTAATTGAAAACTGGAGCTGCCAAGGAAGCTGCCACCAAAATTAACTGGACTGCTGTATTTACCTTAAAAATAAAGGCATTATGAATGAACAGTGTCAAATGGGTTCTGTTTTAAGCTTTTGAGGCAAAGGTATACTCATTGTGACACACTCTAAGCATTCTGGATTGAACAGCATTATCCATGCCAAAGTTGGCATTCCTAGGTGAGAATACCTAACAGGTCAGAGTCACCAACTGACCTATCTGCCTACACAGCTTTCTTTACGAGGGTAGTGACAACCATCAGGAAGTACCACATCTTGAATCCCACAGCAGTTCAATGATGCTATACAATTCTTACTAAATTCTTTGCCGTAGTTCCTAGCTATCCATTCAAACAGCTCTGTAAACATGAAACAATGAAGTGGCTTCTCCCTGGGTGAGAGGATCACAGTAAGCACAAGAGCCAAACCCAGAACCCAGACTTCCAAGGCCACTTTACATGCTGCCTGCCACACCCTGTGAGGTCAGAAAACCAAAATGCATTCACTGCCACGATCTCATGATTCCTCTGGGAAATAAGTACTACCTATCCTCAACATCACAAGACAGACCAGAAACAGTCTAAGATGACAGTCTATGAAATAATCTGGGTATGATGCAGTTAAGGAAGGTGTACAGAGACGCAGCTTGGTCCTATTATTCATTCTGCAGTCAAATGACAGTGATCACAGTGTGATTTTTAAAATAAACAACACATTCCATCTGAGAAACTTCCTATAAGAACAAGCGTTTATTGGTGTGTTTGTCCCAGCGCTCCAAGTGATTTTCTATGAAGTTCTATATTCAAATTGTTGCCCTTCACACAAATAAAGTCACATGAAGCTAAAAGCTCCCTGTATGTTGTAATAGTCTGTGCCTGTACAAAGACAATGGTCCCTCTGTCCCAAGGATATCTAATCTGTTACATCTGTCACAAGAAATAGAATGGAAGGATGACTTAAGTGAAGTTATCAATACATTAATATCTTTTTTTCTGTGCAAAGGGTGATGTATATTTATGATCCTGAAAAAGACTTAACAAAACACATTGACAATTTAGAGTAAACTTTTTAGTCCCTTTTCATCTAACACTTAAAAATAAAAGGATTGGGGCTAGAGAAATAGCTCAGCAGGGTAAAGAGACAGGAGATCCCTAGAGCTAAGGCAAGCTCCAGGTTCAGCTGAGAGCTGCCTCAATCATTAATTGTAAAGAGTGAGAGGAAGACTACCTATGCCAGCCTACACATACATACACACACACACACACACACACACACACACACACACACACACACACACATACACACTCACACTCACATACTACATATAGGCACCTGCAATTAAAATGAATGAATGAATGAATGAATGAACAAATGAAAAGGTCTTAGATATGATGTTCTGACTACAGGAAGACAGGAAAAGCACGAGACTCTTCATTGAAATCTTACATCTCAAGAAGCACTTACATCTCACTTTTTACCTACCCTATGATCTCATTCAAGGTTTAATTCTTAGCACATCAACAAAGACAAACTGCATACACTACAGATCTAAGACAATTTAGATGACAGAAGAATTAACTTGAAATTGTCTGTCTGACAATTCTAGCCCTTCTAACCAACACATTTAAATTCGTCTCATTCAAGTTGGTTAAGATGACTAGCAATCAAAAGTGCCTGTAACCAAGCCTGACAACCTGAGTTCAATTCCCAAGACCAACAAGATGGAAAGAGAGAACTGACCCCCACAAGATGCCTCTACCTTCCACACATGTGCGCGTACACACTCCCACACGCATGGTTAAGAATGCTTTCGTTCTAAGCTGATCCTGAGACTTTTACATTCTCTCCAGTCTAATAAAGTTCAGGAAGGACCGACTTCTTTGAAAGGCTGCTGGGAGTCTCTTACCTTGCTGATGAATGTGGGTTTTAACCTAGCGGTAGCATAGCAGGGATTGAAGTACTTAGCTAGAGTTCTCTGCCAAAAGAAAAAAAAGTTTCAATTCATCGTCAGGTTTCAAACAAAAGTTACCAGCGCTTACCCTATGACTATCCCCAATGTATAGGCATCTTCCTTATCATGTTAAATAAGCACTATTTACACACCTTGCTAATCATTCTAGGCTACGGAAAATAAGATTCTTTAAAATATAGATCTGTCAAGTTCTACAACATTGTATACAATTGCTCTAACAAAGTTTGCTCCATCACATATTTTCCCCAAAGAAACTTATGTTATTCTGTTTTACAGGTTAAAACAAAAAATAAATAAAATATATATCTATTTTTCTGAGACAATGCTATACTTATATACTCAAATATTTATAGAACCAGTGAACTAGTATGTAGCAAGTCATTCCATTCTTCTATGACTAATTTAAAAAATAACTTCTAAATCATCCATGGTGAGGCTAAATGAAAATACATAGCTCGAAGCTAGAAACGGCTCTAAGAGTGAGGTGCTTGGGGCCTGGTTAGCTATCCCAGGTTTCATATACCATCAACTGAAAAGCTGAACTTAATAGAAATCACTTTTTGGTTTTTTTTGTTTGTTTGGTTTTGTTTTTTGTTTTTTTTTTTTTTTGAGATTAGGAATCTGATTGTAGTCCTGTAGACCCCAGACTAGTCTCAACCTCATGGAGATCTACTTGCTTCTGCCTCTGGAATAATGAGATAAAAAGCATGTGTCACCATGCCCAGGCAGAAATCCAGCTTTTAAAACACACTACTAGTGTGTTCAAATTAGTCTCAGAAAGTGAGGTTGCACTCAACAGAATATATTTGTAAGTAATGTGAAGGACTGTTTTCTGAAACTTACCGGTGTTGGCAGAGTTCGGTATCTGACATAAAAGACTGCAGCGATCAACATTACATCTCTTGAAATTATCATGTAAGTGAGTGGGACTGAAAATCAAATATAAAGATCAGTAATGAGGAGTCTGAAGATTACAAACAGATACTGTGACTGCAGAAAAGCCCACTCAGCCTCACACTAACTGATGCTTTCCATAAGTAAAAACTTTGTGATAAATACTTATTGATGATTCAGGCCCTACAGTGAAGCCCTGGTCTTTTTATTCCTTCTTGTAAGCAGAATGACCTGCAGACTGTGGCTCTGTGACTAATCTGCCTCCAGAATTCTGATCCACTCACCACTTTTGTTCTCTCGTGTGTCTGCCTATAAACTGCAAGTCTGTACATACTAGTGTGAGCTACACCCAGCCTCTCCACACCCCACTCTTCTCAGCTTTGTCCTGGGAAAATGATATCATGCTCACTGGAATCCAGTGAAAAGTAATGATAAGGAGGTTAAACGGGGGTGTAAGAGAAGTTAAAATATCTTCAAGTCTCAGGATTCCTTGTATCTGAATTTTAGTTTGTTTTCTAAAGAGCATTTACACACACAGTTTACATACAGAAATACAAAAATATTTTTACTCTTGTGCTAGTTCCTACCCACATAACTATTATTCTTCTCTCTGCCCAGCCTGGCAATCAATTCTTATCACAGGCTGAGTCTCCCTTATCCAATGTGCTTGGTCAAGAGATGTTTCAGATTTCAGTTTCTTGGATTTTGGAATATTAGCACATTGCCAGCTGAGCATTACTAATCACCAAACAATCCAATACCCCAAGCTGTTTGTCACTGGGGATACTCAACTCATATTCTTCAGGTTTTCCAGCATGGTCCCAGGGCCATAGCCAACAAGAGGATATTTTAGATGGGAGGACAGGGAACTTACTTCACTTTACAGCCTTCTGTACCATATAAAGTTTAAACCACAATTCTGTATCTTCTACAAAATAAACTTAATGGAAAAAATCCTGAATTCAAATCATATTTCAGATATCCTTTTTGTGGTATTTTCAAACAGCTCAAAGGTAATCTGAGGCTGTGTTTAGGGCCCTCTCCAGTTCTGACATTCTATTGGCTCTGCACCTGCAACTATAAATCAAACTGAATTTGCCTTGCTCTCACCCTCCACGACAGTGCTGTTCAAAGAGAAAATGTGTCTAGCAGAGCATGTGACTCTAGTAGCCAGTCTACTATTAACCACATGAACCATATTTTTAGATGCACTTTCTTAATGATTAAACAAATACTTCTACAGTAAGCATTAGCTGATAAATTAACAATAACCACACTTTAAAATACAGCTAACCTCTGCAAATCAAAATCAGTAACTGTGAAGGAACCGGAGCAGGGATGAGGTCTGTGGAATGCAGACTGGGCAGTGCTCTGGAGTCATTCCAGCACCAGGCCCTGGCAGTACTCTGGAGTCATTTTACTGCCTGCAACCACCTGGTGGGCCACTTCCAAGTAAAATAATACTCTATCTGTCATAAATATACAATTCCACTTATGTGCTCTTAACAGCATGATTTAAAAAAAGAAAAGCAGCAAAATTAGAAGTGGAGGGGAGATGAGTAAACAAGACACAGAAACTTTAACCTCCTCTCTCAGTCACTGACAAGAGGACCAAAGGGAGGGGAGCAGGGAGTGAAGATGTGAACCTTTCAACAAGACTCAAAACTACACTTACTGAGCTTCCACAGAGGACATCACAACACAGGACGGCAGCACATCCATTCACTGAAGAACGTGTTTATAAAATCTGACTGATACAGGTTGGAAGACTAAAGTCACAGAGCATAGTCTCTGAACACGCAGTAAAGCTTTCAACCATTAACAAAAGACACCTACAGAATCCATACAAACTGACAACTAAAACACATTGCTATCTTGGTTGTAGTGGGGATTGAACACAGGGCCTTGTGCACACTAGAGAAATGTTTTGACCCTGAGCCACACCCCAACCTAAGAAATAGTTATTAGACAGACAAGACAGACAAAGAACTATCAGGAAAATATTCTGTCTCGGACAGTGACAAACCCCTAACAAACACAGAAACTGCTGTGAAAGTGATACATGCGGAAAGTGCAGTCGCATGGGAACTTCACAAGAGCCAGGAAGCAATGAGCAATGTGCCCATCTCCAGGCTGTGCTGCGCTGTCCACACAGCCAGGAGCACTATCAAGAACCTAAGGGTGACTTATCAAATAGAAAGGTACAGCAAATGGAGAGAAACACTCGATTTTGAAGCTTTATACTTTGATTTGGTCATTTCTTATTGATTATATGCTAGAATCATTCTCTGAATTTCATTGAAAAGACTTATCTAGTGTGTGAGCACGTGGGTGGGGGACACACGTGCTGGCAGAGGAGGTCAGAGAGCTGACTGTGGGGTCCAGAGGATGGAACTCAGGTCCCTTCCTCAGCACCTTACTCGCAGAGCCATCTCACTGGCCCAGCAGAACGGCATTAATCTACTGGGTTAAATAAAGGATCTCATCAAAATTTTAATCTACTTATGTTTTAATATAGCTACTAAAAATGTTTCATTACATATGGCACCTTTTTTATTTCTACTAGAAGAACTGATAAATAAAAAGGGGTCAAGGAAAGCCCAGAGAGGCAGAGAGAGAAAAAGGGAGGAGATGACATATTTAATGACATAAATAATCAGTGAGTCTTTTCAAACCCAGATTTGGTTCATTAGGAGTCACAGAACTGGCAACACGTGACTAATCAAGAGAAAAACAGAAGGAAGTACGACTCGAGATGAAAATGAGGACGTTACTGTGTACCACATATCTACAGTACCAACAAAAAGGTGCTACGAAAGAAGTCACTTCTTTTTGAGTTTTCTTTTGGGGGGGTGGGCGGTTCAAGGCAGGGTTTCTCTGTGTAGTTTTGGTGCCTGTCCTGGATCTCTCTCTGTAGACCAGGCTGGCCTCGAACTCACAGAGATCTGCCTGGCTCTGCCTCCCAAGTGCTGGGATTAAAGGCCTGTGCCACCGCTGCCTGGTGCAACTTCTTTTTTTTTTTTTATTCTTCAGAGCTGAGGACCGAACCCAGGGCAAGCGCTCTACCACTGAGCTAAATCCCCAATCCCAAACTTCTTAATAATATAAATAAAATAGATAAGTTCCTAGGTAAAAAAAAAAAAAATCACAACTTGCAAAAATGCACAAAAGATAAATTATTAAACTGAATTACCCTAGAACAATTAAAGAAACAATTAAAAAATTAATCACTTTTCAAAACTCTCAACAGCTTCAACAAATTCTATCAAACACTCAAGATGAAAAACTGTAATGTCACATGAATACCACTCAAGCACTGAAGAAAAAAAGTCAGTGACCTGTTTGATAAGGCAAGTTACAACACTGGTATTAAAAAGAGGGACCCAGTGAGAATGCTGACACCAAGAAAAAAGGACAGCAAATGCTGATGAGAGTGTGGGGAAGAGGAACGAATCCTTATTCACGGATGATGGGCATGCAACCACTACAGAGACCTGTATGGAGCTTCCTCAAGAGACAAAACAGCTACCATATAAGCCAGCTACGGCACTAGAGTACACGGCAGAAGGACTCCAGGAACTGCCTGTTTACTGCTGCACTATTCAAAACGTCAGGAAACTCAAACAGCCTCGATGCTCATAAGTGAATGGATGAAAAAATTTCACACAGTTAAAAGAAAAAGGAAGTCAGGACATTTGCAGCAAATGGGTTGGAAATCGTTATTCGGCTAAAAAGTCAGACTCAAAAACACACATTTTCTCTCATGTAGAACTTAAATTTAGAAATGTACATGTATGAATGTACACGTGTGTGCATGTATGCGAGTACTTATGTTTTTGTAGGTCATAAAGCTGGAAAGAGGATCCTTAAGAATAAGATCTTAAACAAGGTGGGTGCCGAGCAGGTCATGGCATACATGTCTAACAGGAAGCAGAGGGAACTAGAGGATGAAAAGGGTCCACTGGAGGCAAAGAGGGGAATGACTGAGAACAATGTGTATGACACCTATGTATGAAGATGCCATGATGAAACCCATTACTTTATATTATAACTTGTAAAGCTAATTTAAAAACCAACAAAGATTTTTCAAGAAACAAATTCCAGGCTATAGCTTGGGGATTTAGCTCAGTGGTATAATAATGCCTAGCAAGTATAAGGCCAGTGGTGGGGGCAAAAATCACAAAGAACACCCCCCACAAAAAAAGTAGGCCAAGCTAATCTCATGAATCTGAGTGAGAAATATTCAACAAAATACTATCAAACCAAGCCCAACAACATCTCCAGAATGTATCCTGGCCAAGCTGGATTTTCACCAGGACTACAGGTTGTTTTAACACTAGAAAAACAGTAATGCAACTCACCTCGTAATAGCAGCTTAAAGGGGGAAAAATGCTAGACCAGTAATATGGCAAGAAAGAGTTCTCAGTGCTCCATCAAAATAAACACTTGGAAGAAATTTCCAAGAAAAACTACTTAACTTGTAAAGAGGATCTACAAATCCCTACAGGAATCACCCCACAAAGTGGTTGTAAAAGCTTTGTCTGAGCTGGGGTGAGTCAGGCTTGCTCCTGCTCAGCATGAGACACACAGTACGGTGAGGAAGTCAGAGAGATAAAAGAAATAGTCATTAACCAGAGACCGTGCATACTGGGCCTGAAGATGAGCCAGCAGAACTGAACAGAGTCAGAGGGAGAAAGCTTTATTAGACAGGTAGGTTAACATCGGGAAAAAAACAATTGTCGTCACATCAATAACAGCGATCATCACACAACACTTCAACCTTCCACTGGTAAGAACATTAAGAACTATCAAATACCTGAGAATAAATCTGTCAAAAATTTATCACTGTCTTGGAGAAAATTAAAAACTCTGAAAGACATCAGACAAGGCCTAAATACATAGATACATGGCATTTGTGACCAATAAAAAATGTCAAATTTTCCAAAGAGATCTATACATTCCATGTACCCAAATCAATTAAATCCCCAACAGATTTTTATTTTCCCTTTGGAAAAAGCTAATTCTAATATCATACACACTGGAAACAGCTAAGAATATCTAATAACCAACAATGTGTTATTACTTATTAATAGAAATAACTAATGTCTTGAGCATTTAGAAAACCGGCATCAAGCTGGATGAGCATCATACTTCATCTACCAGACACCAACAATGGACACTAATGGAAAACAATACAAGACCAGAATGAGACACCACTACACTTCCACCAGACACCAACAATGGACCAGCTTCCATTCTCAAATCCCACTTCTAACTCTCAGGGGGATGAGGAAGAAAAACTACTTGAGAAATACAGCCTAAGCACAAAATGAAGAACCAGAGTGGCATGACAACACATAACGAAAGAGACCATGAAGTTTCAGAGTATTCAGATAATGCATATGTGTATATGATCTGAAACTGAACAATAATGAATAATGTGGGGGCTGGAGAGATGGCTCAGTAGTTAAGATCACTGGTTGTTCTTCCAGAGGTCCTCAGTTCAATTTCCAGCAACCATATGGTGGCTCATAACCATCTATAATGGGATCTGATGCTCTCTTCTATCATGTAGGCACACATGCAAATTGAGCACTCACATAAATAAATAAATCTTTTTAAAAAAATGAATGAAGCAAAATTTACAGATATCTTCATAGTATCAGAGTTCCCATTATGAATAAACTGTACTTAATAAAGATAACCCTGGGGGCTGGAGAGATGGCTAAGCGGTTAAGAGCACCGGCTACTCTTCCAGAAGACCTGAGTTTGATTCCAGGACCCACACTGATGGCTCACAACTGTCTCTATCTTCAGTCCCAGAGGATCTGACACCCTCTTCTGCCTTCCGTGGGCACCAGGCACCAAGTGGTGTACAGATATACATGCAGGCAAAATATACATACCATATACATAAAATAAAAATTGAAAAAAAATCAGCAACTTATGAAGATTTTAAATTACTTCTAAATATCTGTGTGCTAAAAACACATAATGTATCACCAAAAAATTCTGGGGTATTATGAATAGGTACTGAACTATTACCTCAATTAATTTTAGACAAAGTCATAAACAAACTGTTTCTCCTAGTGTAACAAGGACACAAATTCTACAATAAACAGTGTGACAAGCAAAACAGTTTATTTGAAATTGAGGAAACAGTTTAAAGTTGAAAATATATTTTGGAAAAAAAACTATTTCTCTTAAGAGAAGGCCTGAGCTCACTACCATTGTTCTTCCCTATTATTGAAAGTACACATGAGTGTTCTTACCTGGAATAAGATCTGCATAGGTCAAGCTAACATATAAGATGCTGATAAGAACTTTATCAGCAAGTGGATCAAGAGCACTTCCCAAAGCTGATTTTTGATTGGCCCAGTTTCGAGCAATAAATCCATCCAACTGAAAATAGAAGTGTTTTTTAAATAAACATCATAATAGGAACAGAATAGATAATTTGAAGCTTAAGAAACACCAGAAAAACAACTATGCTTTCAGATAATGCCAGCCAAATCTCATTTCTTATCCCCAAACATTCTTTCTCACTCCTTTTAGCTTTTAAAACAGTAATTACCTAAATGATAGATCTCCTTCTCCTCCAAGGGGTCCTACTGACTTCTCACTATTTTCACAACATGCCCATGTGGGATGAACCCAAACATAAATGTAGAAATATAGAGCCCCACAAAACTCACAGAAGGCATGACTGACAGAGCTGGGAGTAGGAGCCTACTGTTTTGAGCCGTAACGGCTGCTATTGCATCTAAGAACTACTTTTTAATTGTGAGACACTCAGCTTTTACATCCCTATCTATTTTACTGTATTACCTGACTCTTGTGGTTTTTGTTTTTAAATTTATGTGTATGTGTAACTGTAAGCCATGTATCTGTGTGTGTATGTGTGTGTCTGCAGAGGCCAGAGGAGACTGTCAGATCCTCTGGAACTGGAGTTACAAGCAGCTGGGAGCTGTCTGATGTGGGTACTGAGATTCAAACTCAGGTCCTATAGTAGAGCAGGAAGCACTCTATAGCTGAGCCATCTCTCTTTAACTTTAAAATGTATTTTGTTCAGAGAGCTAGAGTGTATTTAGTGAAAAGAGCACTTGACTAGCTTCTGTGAGGCCCTGGGTTTGATGACCTGCATATTTCTTTCTCTTTCTCTCTCTCTCTCTCTCTCTCTCTCTCTCTCTCTCTCTCTCACACACACACACACACACACACTATTAATTCAATGTTCTATGTATTACCTATATTTGAAAGAAAAACATAATCCTCTGTACCTACCCTAACTAAAATGCTAATACTTAAACTACTTTTTTTTTTTTTTCATTTTTCAAGACAGAGTTTCACTATGTAGCCCTGGCTGACCCGAACCCACAGAGGTCTGCCTGCCTCTGACTCATGAATGCTGGGATTAAAGGAGTGCACCAACATACCCAGCACATTACTTCTTTAATTACTTACTTTGATTAGAAACAATATTTTAACCTAGATCACACTCGATTGCCAAGCTTTTTACCATAAAAACTGAATCTCTAGCCTAACTCAAGAAGGGCCAGACTCGCATCATCAGGGACACAAAAAGGGTTAAAAGAGATGCTGTGACATGACACAAGGCAGAAATATCTGCCTTGTTCATCCTAGGCTCAATGTATAGCACTTATTTTATTTAACTCTATACTTCAACAAATGTTTGAAATCTCCACTTTTATTTCTAAGAAAACAATAAAACTAACTTATGTGCAATGAGGCATGATGCCTTTTAAAGATACTAAGTCCTCCATGTTGCAAGTATTCCAATAAGTTAACGGAGAAACACATACCCAGAAGTGGCTGAGGAGTTGGTCTAAGCCTGACACACAGAAGGCCAGAGGATGAACCCAGGCACAACAAAACAAAACCCACAGCAACAACACAGACACAGCAGCAGAACAGACTGCAATGCCGGCTCTGTACTCCCTTCCTGCATGACTTTGAACAAGGCATTTGACCTGGCTTTCTTTCTGCTTGAAACAGGCAACACCATCTACCTCAAAGCCTTGGCTGCCTTCAGCACAGTATGATTAATACTTGTTCAGTCTCTTAGCAAGTCCTCAAAAAAGCAGTTACTAGGGGCTGGGGATTTAGCTCAGTGGTAGAGCGTTTGCCTAGCAAGCACAAGGCCCTGGGTTCAGTCCTCAGCTCCGACAAAAAATAAAAAAAATAAAATAAAAAAAAAAATAAAAAAGGCAGTTACTAACTACTCCAGTCACAACTAGAACAATCAGCTGTCTTCTTCCCTGCCCCCTTCCCCTGTAATTTTTAGTTATTTATTGTTTATTTTGAGACAGGTTCTCTTAACTCTGAAGCCTGGAACCTACCATGTAGACCTGATTGGTCCAGAACCTGCAGCTATCAGCCTGCCTTTGGTGCTGGGATTAGAGATCTGCACCACCATGCCCAGCTACTTTCTTAAGTGGTTAGAGGTAATGCTGATTAACCAAGTGTCTATAATGGGGAGTTACGGCCTTGAAGAGCCACTTTTGGTACTGTTTCTGTTCTTCACTTCCCGCTGTGGCCATTATTACTCTCCTGTCCTCACTGTTCCTCTAGCCCACCTCACTCCTTGGCAAACAAGAACAACTCCTTTCACTGCACTTCATCCCTCCCACAATACCACTACCATGCACTTCAGGCCTGCATGCAAGTGGCTAAACACCGCTCCAAAAAATACATAGATGGGCTGACGATCTCATGAATTCAGGACATAAGCCTTCTGCGGACACTCAACGCCTAGCTATATCTATTGACAGTATTATCTTCTCTTCTGCTTTTACCCCTGACCTACTTCGTTCCCACTAAATGCTCTCATTCTGGCCACGGCTATGTCTGCACTTTCCCAGAAGAAAAGGGTTAAAAAGACAACTGGTACTTCCCTATGTTGCACCTAGTACACTGCTCAGCTACACTCATCCTGTGTTCCCTACTCAAATCCCACCCTTCACTTTACTACTCAGCTAACGGAAAATATTCCTCAGCACACCTGTCTTTAAAACAACCCTCTCGCCGGGCGTTTGTGGCGCACGCCTTTAATCCCAGCACTCGGGAGGCAGAGTCAGGCGGATCTCTGTGAGTTTGAGGCCAGCCTGGGCTACCAAGTGAGCTCCAGGAAAGGCGCAAAGCTACACAGAGAAACCCTGTCTCGAAAAACCAAAAAAAAAAAAAAAACCCTCCCATGGCCCTCTTCCTCTATTCTCCTACAAAGCAAAATCTTCTTAAAAGCAGTGCCAGCCATTACCATTCCTCATGTGCTTATCAACTTAGGCCCATCATCCTCACACCTCTAGAAAGTTCTCATGCAGACCACCAATGTGTTCTGCATTTCCAGATCATGTGACCTGCACACAAAAGCAGCACTTCTGTCACTTACTCCCTGGGACATGCACTGCCCAATCTTCCTTTCTCACTATCCCTAACACCCTCGCCAGGCTTCTGGTCCTTTACTAATTGTCCACTTCTCCCTTTCACTTACTGGACTGACCTCACTTAGATCTGATTAGTCAGCTCCCAATCTGTCCTCTTCTGCTCTACACTGCCACATTCAACCTGAAGCAAGAGGTATCAGGAGCTCAGTTGTTTTCCCCTAAACCCTGTCCTGTCTCAAGGGTTCTCCATCCCCCAGTGTTACCACCAAGTATCTGATTTTGAAGATGGGGGTGGTTTGTGGGAAGGGGTGCCTTGGTGATACTATTTTACTCCCATTCAACCTGTCCAGTATATTGACTTATCAATACTTTATTCAGAACATTATCCAAACCCATCCACTTCTAACTCCAAACTCCAACTCAGTCTAAGCTACTTCCTCCTCACCAGCTGCTTGGCTTCCAACTCTTGCTGGCCTAGAGCCTACTTCCCACACCATCAGATCTTGCCATTCCCCTGCTTAAAACCAGTGAGTGCGGAGGCATCCAAATCTCCATGGAAAAAGTGCACAATATGGTACCAGTTAATTCTGATTCCCATACACGTCATACTTATTAACGGGGTGTCTCACTTATGAAAGCCATTTCATGTGACAGTTGATCCCCTACCCCACAAATTAACAAATATAAAAGGTGATTCCAATGTCTGGGGGGGGGGGGGAGAAAACAAAAACAAAGCCAACTTTACTATCTAAACTATTTCATTATCAGTCTAATGTTCTAGGACAGACTTTCAGACCACACCAGTAACTAATGGAGAGACCTTAGGCTTCAGGGGGACGAAGAGGCACCGCAGAAAGGGGGAGAGACGAGGAGAATGGGGACAGATGGGGACAAAGGAGAACTGCCATCTGTGAAGGAAAGGCAGGAGCTCATGGGAAAGGCTGTATCTGATGCACAGTCAGAAACCGTAAGACAATGCAAATGCTCCCCATCCACCTTCAAGACCTCCAGTTGGTTCTCCACTGATCACTAGCACTACAGTTACTAGGCAAGTATTGTGGCTATGAACCACAGAAGAAAAACAAACATTTTTAAAATGCTGTACAACCTTTACTTTGGGGAAATCAGTTTTCTACTCTCATTAAATAATTATTGAGCAAAAATATTAAAAGCAAATAGGGTTGAAGACATAAATTTATCTCCTATCCAGGTACAAACACATCTCCCAGCATTCCCCTGAGAAAAAATTGCTTCCATTTTCACATGCTCAAAAGCTCTGATCTCAGGTTTTTCCTCTGTCCTTCTCCCCACTGTGTTTGTGGGCATGGAATTTTATAAGCCATTTCAAATCCTCTGTGAAAAGGTCATACACGATGGCAGTGGCTACTCAGCAAACGCAGTAGCGTCTTCTATCATAAAATTGTTTCCCCGATTCTAACTTGGTAGCACACTCCCTAAACTGACAGTGTGCTGTCAAAGAGCCCCCTCCTTGTCCATGTGCTGAGGAAGTTGCTGAGGAAGGAGGAAAAAGGACGGATGCCCATCTCAGACCAAGGCCTAAATGCACAGCAGACCTAGGTATTCCTGAATGACAGCCAGCCTCTAAGCAAACCCGGCCTTCGCCAGCTCCCGGCCACATCCTCTTCCACCTCCCTGCAGACCAGACTATTTCCTTCAGAGTAGACACAAAAGAGTCCCAGACCTTCTCTTTATTCTACCACTACAGCAAGCACTCGGCTCTGGAACATTCCTATGGGTGTTTCTTTCTTGAAGAAGTTAAAAACAAAGGGTAAAGACTGCCCTCTCCTGGGGCTCTCCACGACCTTTACACTTTAGATCTTTATAATCTTTTCTAGATCTTCTGGATCTTATAAAAGCAGCTCCACATGAACGCTAAAGACAAGTCCTTACACAAAGTACTAGATCACTCATGCTGAGGACGCCCTTCCAGGAAAGCTGAGTCTGTGCTCCAGGGGAGTTATAGAAAATGTAGGATTTGGAAGGGAGCAAAAAGCAAACAAATTCATAACTTACCAAATCCGTTAGCCCAGCTAGAGCAAAAACACCTAGTGCAACATTAAAATCTTCTTCAAGGATCAGATAGCCCAACACGGGGGCCAAGCCAATTCTTGTCATTGACAGCATATTTGGGATTGTCCATGGATTTTCATACTGAAAGACAAAGACGGCACAATTGGAATAAAATGCTACAAACTCATACTTTAACATACATGGAAATGGAGAGTTCTGTACATCTTTCCATGGAGATGTTGAGACACTTTCTCCTCCCTCGAGTAAAGAACTGGGGGTGTTCACAGCTCCCACTTGGGAGTTTTGGTTCCTTGAAACTTCACTTGGAGCCCAGCTGTTAGAAACTGGCACTGACAAGAGGCTCCTTGGCAGCTGCCCTGAAGGACAACCCTTCTTTGCCAAACAGAAAATCATGAGGGCACTTCAACTTTCAAACTCTTCAGCCCAGCAAAGCTGAAAACACCAAGAAGATGTCTTTCCCTGGAGCCTGAACTGCTTCTCAGTAGTCCAGACAGCTGATTCCACCCCACTGGACTTTGTCTTCAAAGAACCATTTTAACATCTTTTTAAATCAGTAACCAATTCGCCTGAACCTTAACCTTTTTAGAAAAAAAAAAAAAGGAGGCAGGCTGGTGAGCTCAGTAGGTGTGGATACTTGCCGCCAACTCTGACAACCTGAGAGCAGACACTCCATGTGTCCACTTGCATGTGTTTTAGCAAGTATGCATACTCGCACCAAAGGGAAAAGGGGGCAATGTTCATTTCTCAAGATATCTTAAAATCTCATGAGCCACCCAGCTCCTAAGAAAAGGTATTTATTTTATAAATAGAACCCAACAGAAAGCATACCAGTATAGGGGGATAATGGGATGGTTGTTGGAGTCAGGTGAGAATACGGTCACTGAAAATTACAGAACTTCAAATTCTACTACACCAAATCAGAAGCAATACAGCCCTCTGCTCTGGAATCTTCTATTCAAAGGAGGACCACATTATAAAGTTGTAAGAAAACAGGCTCATTTACACGCAGGTTCAAAAGATTAGAACGTTTCTGAAACTTAAGAAAAGTGTCAGGCTGGTGAAACAGATCGGGGACGCCGTCCCGACCTTTGTGCATGTAAGGAGGACAAGCCTGTTGACCACACTGTGGTACAAAGTCAAACACTGATCCAATACCACAGCAACTCACAAAGGCTGGGAAGGGGGAAAGGCAGCCGGTGGCTGAGGGGATGAGATACAAAGCAAAAGCCAGGAATGGAGAACTTCAAAGTCAGTCTGATGTGCCCACCGGGGCAAGACTAAGCCGAGAGCTGCAAGCACCGTCACGTGGCAAACACACAATTACAACTGGATAGTAAGTTACTGGGCCAGTGAAGGGGGCCGGAGCCCTACACAAAAGTTCACTCATATCTAGTTATTACATCTGTAAAAGTCAACACTGGGAACTTAATCTCAGATTACCCAACCAGATAACCTGTGGCATACTCGGCCAACTGTGCTGGGAAGGGCTTCAGCCAGGTTGAGGGCAACTTCAAAGTATCCAGCGTTCAAGCTCCAACAGGCTTTAAAGCTATTCCTGAAGTTGAGACCCCTGCCGGGGTGTGGCCACCTCAGCCCATGCTGGGTAACTGAGGAAAGCAGAGCAGTTCAGGGGGCCTCTGAAGACCTAACAATTGAAGATGTAATAATTGCATGAGCTTTGCCAACATGACATCAAAAGCTGTGCCACACTCATGCTCTGGCGTCTCCTGCCTGGGAAGTCATTTTAGCAGCTAAGGTGGACAAATACCTCCTCTGTTACCTCGAGAGTAGTCTTAAGTTTCTATAATACAAAGTTGAAAGATCTTCTCATTACAACCTAAGCTAAATAACTGTCCTCCGTGTTATTGTAAACGATGACCAGAGGCCAAAGGATGACGAACCACATCTGCACAAGCGAACAGACGGACCGCTCTTCAGATGCCTCCGAACTCACCCTATACACTGAAGATTCACTTCGAAAACTTAAAAACAGATTTATAACTAGACGAGCGACAGCTATTTTGACCAATGCAACGTGCAGACAGACACCCCTTCCAACAACGGATGTGGACGGAAGAGAATTAGAGTGGATTCTAATTTGGCCAGAGACCGTACCCGGCTGGGGCTCCCCGAACTTCACGGCGACCGAACGCCCCGCCTGCCCGTAACTTCCCAGAACACCGGCTGAGTGTCGCGACAGAGCGCCGGGCC